GTAATTCTCCAACTGCGGCCGTACAACTTAGCTACTCTGGCCGTTTGAAATCACGACTCGTTGGCAAGCGCTGCGACAATTCGTTGGTCATCGATACTTACATCAGGAACATCTTGTCTATCCATTGCAAAAAGAAGCTGCTCGTTGTGTATTGTGGAGATCGAGTGGTCTACAACGACGAGATCTGCTCGACTTAGCACTAAAATATTGTTTTTTTTTCTGCTCTTCATTTTGCTCAAATAAAACCTCACAAATGTTCGAGTGAGATGAATTAATATTATTATTCATGAAGAGTTACTTGTTAAGATATAGAGTGGGGACAGAATCTCAACTTCTACATTGCGCAAATGTATGCTATACGAAGTTATTACATCTTTTTTTTACAAAACAATTTTTTAAGGGACTGACATATAAGCGCATTTTGCAGTTGATTGAACATCCAATAAATTTGCTTATTTATGTATTACTAGTCTAGCTGCGCACGCATTCGTTTCCCACGGGACTGTAGTGGCATAAAACAGAGCCATCGATAATTTCATAAATCTGTCTGGCAAACTCCGCTCACTTGCGTGCACGCTGCCCCCCTCTGAGCATGTCTTTCTTTGCGTCGGACTCTATCACTTTTCCCCGGATCCCAAGCCATTGGAACCGGGATATAACGGCGCTCGTGAATAAGTACGCCCACATCGGCGCACGCCCCACCCACCAACGGCAATACACTTCCTTCCATCGCCAACCTCTCCACTTTTCAGTCCATCTACTTCTCGGAGCCGAATTAACATAATACGATGAAAGAAGCGATTACCAGACCAAAATGTGACTTATTTGCTTCTTGCACCGCATTATTCAGGGAAAGTTTTGGTAAACGAAACTAAACGGTAGCGAAGCTTTTTTTATACTGTTAAGGCATATGAGAGATTGTTCCATCTGACCTCAGCAGTGCTCACCGCTGTTTTATCATTTTCATACCTGCGCAACCGTGACGTTTACTAACCGATCGTCTCATGAAACGGAAAAGTTTTACGTCGCAGATTTCGTAGAAACCGGAATTTAAGCAAATTAAGTGGAATACTTCAGGAGCTTGAGTGCTTACGTCATAGCGAGGATGGGTTTCTTTGTTGAAAATTCTTTGTTTACATGTCGCATCAGAATATGCAGAGAGGGCGGGGACTGGCTTTGTTGCTACCTTATGTGTCTCTTAATCCAGCTTTCATACATTCGACCTCTCCTGTCTAATATGCAAAAATGGATTTAGTTACAAGGCACTAGGAATTCCGAATTTCCAACACTTCATTAATAACTGCGATGTGTTTAGAGAAATTGCGAAATATAATACTTCCCGGACTTCTCAAGATGACCTTTGATTATTTTTAGTGAGGACTAAGGATTGAAAAGCGAAGAGATTACGATAGGATTGATCAGGTCTGGAGTGAAAGAGGGGGTGCTAAATAGTATGGCTGTGAAGAAGAAGCAGCCGGAAATGTTATGAATACGTAAAATGGGGCCATCATTAAGTTCGTTGGCAGTGGGCGGCGCGCAGGGCCTCGGTCGACGTAGTCATCAGGTGGACGAATTGTCCCAGGGGTGTGCGGCACCCGTGCCAAGGTAGGCCCCTCCCACTCGTTACCATCAGCTGTTGCGTGTTGTTTATGTTTGCTAATTCCGTGATTATTTCATCTTACTCTCAGTATTCGTGTATTCATTTTTCATTGTATCCATTTTTCTCTGTGATTTGTACAACTTAATAGAAGATAAAGTTTTGGAAAAGCTTATTTACGCACGTTATATCGCTCATGTTTCGAAGCGACTGTGTTGGTTTTTGAAAACGTCGTTTTCATCTTCATAGTAGAAGTTTTCAGGGTTCAAAGTGTTTCATGTAAAACAGCCTTCAATCGGTTCGCGCGACTGAATGCTGCGGAAATCATGGAAGCATGACTACAAGAATCATTTGGTAAGCGTTTTGTGTTCGGTGTTTAATACTGTATTCAGCTATGTTGTTTAAATGCGATGATTTATCCTTTCATTCTTTTATATCGGTAGTTCGTATACGGTTAAGTGCATAGCCGTAAATTGTGTCGGTTCGGTTTACGGACTACTTGAACTTTCTTCTATGGTCCTGCCACGAATGGCGGAGAGCACAGACGATCAGAGAACGGCGCCTGGCTCGGCTCCAAATCCCAAGGAGGGAGGTGAGAGCCCTAGGACTAAGCCTTGTAGGGGAGGGACTCCGAGGTGGGTGAGCCAACTACAGTGTGGCAAAAGTTTGAATGTGTGAGATCACAGTGGTCATGAGCCGCTGATAAGGTGAGAGAGCGCAGACGAAAGCGTCGAGTGAGGCAGCTTAAAGGACCGAGTTCAAGTAGTCCGTCGACCTAATTGTGTCAGGGTGTGGTTCACTAGGACAGAGCGACTTAGTAGACTTAATCTTAGTTAAGGTTTGGATGACGACGAAGGCTGCAAAAGAGGAATGTTTCGAGAGATTCAATGCTGCGAAAGGAAGGAATTGATGATGTGTGGTAGGTTCTGCAGAAATTTTTGTTGTTTGTCATAATTTTCCATTTCTAATTTGTTATTGGCTTGTTTCGGTTCACTATATCTTATTCGATTTATTATGTTTTTTTTTGAAACTGTTTCCTTGTAACTCTTACATTCTGTCAAAATAATGAAGTGATCTTGAATTCCGTGACAACTATAAGATCGAATATAGATCATACAGTTGTCACGGACGGAATTCCATGTCCCATAGTACCCATTCAGTCCTGTCCCATCTTGTACTGGGTTTGCTGGGCGCAGTTCATTCTCCGTCCCTTTGTTAATGTGTTAGCACGTGCTTCCTCTGATACATGCCAAGGTCTCATTCAGGAAATCCTAAATGTTTTTGGTGGAATACATTTTCGAATGTAACTTTTTCCTTCTGAGATGCTCAATTTAATTCGTGATATGTATTGGAAGCGATTTTTCTCCACTAATCACAGCGTTCATTGAGACAAGAATTGAAATTCTACCATTAACCTTTAGTGGTGACGTCCTTCGCTTTTGCGGGAGAATGTTGTTCCTTCCATAGGGGTGTCACATTGGAAGTGGTTCACGAGTTGAATGCCCTAATGACAGTATTTTCCAGTTTTCAACATTTCCCTTTATACCAATGGGGTGCAGGATTCAAATGGATATAGAAAAGACCAGAAGATTAGTTTTGTTAGTGGAGAAACTAGGTTTCCATAACTCCGCGCATAGTTTAGTATTTATAGAGAAAGCGTTGGGTAATTTTTAGCTGTACTACTACCTTCCCACCTCTTCGCGATCGTTTGAGATAAGAACTAGAGGACACTGGAAGGCTTTTGATGAGAAAGTTTTGATCGTGGTTGTGATGCATGTTTTTCCTCGAGTCATAACAATAGAAAAAAATTGCATGAATTTGGAATCTGCAGTGTTCCTGGCTTTTGACTAATGCCCTATCGCAAGGTTGAAACCCCTTCTGATATCAAAGGAACAAATGGAACCGGAGCAAACAAAAATCGACACCTTCCTCTCCGACTGTTATTGCCCGTTTTCTATGAGACCGAAAGCGAGAACAATCTCAAAGAACAGCTCATTTGGAAAATCACAAAACGGTTTCCTTCCCCGCGTAACTGTGAAAAATTTCCAAACATGGCATTATTGAAAATGATAAAGCAGAATTGTAAAACTAAACTCTAGACTCTAGAACTCTAGAACTTCAGAAACAAAGCAGTGATTCTGCTCGATATTTTTTATCGTGCTCCTGTTGTTCTGTCGGTTTTAAAACCTCTACAGTGATTTTAAATTTACGTAGAATTCGGTCATACTCGAAAATCTCTAGTAAAATGTTTGGCATTATTGCACTATTACAACCCCAGTAGTGGGTGAGATGGGTCAAAAAATAATTTTCGCTGAAACTTCTGCTATGGGGGTTATCGAGGGTCCTGATCACGAATATGATATTCATTTTTGGCGCTGGCGCCATTTCGCGCCATGTGCCATTGGCCCTCTATAGAAGAAGTTTCAGCGAAGATTATTCTTTGGCCCATCTCATCCCCCCAGTGGGGTTGTAATAGTGCAATAGTGTCAAATGTTTCGTTCTTCCTAAGTTCTTTCTCCAATTCAACAGTAATACTTTTCTCCAATGAAAAAGATTTGCCTCTAAAACATATCAACTAGTGAAGGGAAATAGCTCAAAAAAAGTTGCAGCCGAAAAAGTATTCCACCGAAGACTTTGGCGCTACTGTACATCTACCACATGCGATGTGTTGGTAAACAATTGCTGTCATCAACAGAGCCAGCCTTACCCTCTTATCAAAGGATGGTTTTGTTGTGACAGTTCAAGCATCATTTCGAATCGAAAGAGTAGGCAGCATTTCAGGGGATTTTTTGAAATGAAGTGTGTGATCTGTGGGCATGTGTTGGAAAATGCGGAAGGGAGGTACACTTCGATGGTCAAAAGTACCAACATGATCCTGTTGCTTTCATTATCTATGGCCGGTCAACAGGACATTGAAAGCGCACGTTCTTTCGCAGAAGCCATAACGAGGCCTAAGTTAAAAATTTGCCACATTCACTTTGTACATGCGGTAAGTGGAACACATATGGCCTACTTGTGAGCAAAGTAGAAGTCGTTGTGCAGGCGCAATACTTCTTGGCGGAAATGGCATTAGTCGGAAGAAGAGTTTCCCATTTTTATGATCCTTGCTGCTGATGGCCGGACAGCGTATTGTGACGGACGGAGACATACCTAGTCATCTGTTGGATGTTTTGAACAGGATGGCAAATGTACGATTTCCTATTAACTGAGGACATATGTTGGACAGCATCAATGAGTCCGAGTTCAGGGTAGTGTTCTGATCACATCCACGTGATGTGAGCAGGTTCCTCAACGATGCACTGAAACGCTACTATTCAACAGCCGTATGGCCAGTCACAGAAGAGGTATGAGAACAGGCTTCTACCATCGATTCTTTTCTGAATCCTTGGTGCAGGTTGATGTGATGCATGTTGGCGCCGACGGTGGTGAAGATTCAAGGGAACCCAGGGAAGCACCAGAAGATGCAAGAGAAGAGAACGGTGACAAGGGATCTACGGCAGGGGAGGTAGATGAAGAGTCGGCCGATTCTTGCTCAGAAGTGGTTAGTTGTAAGAGGACTTGGAAGAGTTATAGTTACAGAGTAAGTGAATGTTCAGAACGCAAACGAGGCAGAGGTTGACAATGTGTCCGAGTGGTCTCCCGACCACTCTTCTGAAGAGTCGGACAGCTCCTCGACAAGCAGCTCGTCCGTGTTTGAGCCCTTGCTCCGGGCCACTAAACCAGCTGTACTCGATCAGTATTTCCTTGTGAAAGGGCTACTATGATGCAGCTGTTCCAGTTTTGTCCTCAATGTGGACATAAACTTAGTGAAACGGAGCTTGTAGGCGTGGGCACTGCTGCGCTTGTAAAATTCGTTTGCAAACGATGCGACCCTTTCACTCCATGCGTGAAACGATGGGAGAGTCAAGAGCGCAGTGTCTCTCATTCTAAAGAAAAGACTCTGAAGGGGAACGTAGCCGCTGTCGTTGCTGCCATAACTACCGGACTGGGCTACGCTGTAAGTCATGAATTTGGTGTGTGTGGGCTGAAGAGGCATGAAGAACACACGTTCAGGAGCTACGAACGATGGGCGCAAGAATTAGAGAATGGCCATATTTTCGAGGTCTTTCTATAGAAAGGTATTCAAGTGGACAAAACCTGCTATTGAGCACGTTTATCAGTGCCATCAGAAGTTCGTGCTGGATGAGGTGCGCGCGAGATACGGGGTAGGTGAACGAAATGTAACATTCTCACACTAAGGCAGTTGCTGGAATGCTAAATCTCTATTCAGAGGGGTGTTGGGCTGCATTTGCAGCGGATGGTGCCTTCGATAGTCGCGGCTTCTCAGCGTTGAATCGGGAAGGTTGTGTTCATTGATACGCGTACGAAGTTAGTGGTGCACACTGAAGTACTTCACCGCTCCGAAACAGGTGTTCATGTAAAAATTATGATACGGCGCCATGGAATCTGTCTCTTTAGAGGGTATAAGTGGAAGGATGGAGATTGAAGGTCTCCGTAGAGGGCTTCGATTTCTGAAGTTGTCAGGTGTGCCTGTGGCTACCCTGACAACTGATCGTAGCAAGGCTCTTGGTGCTTTGGTGAAACAAATGGAGCCCGAAATTGGGGCCATCCGTCATTACTATGACGGATGGCATTTGGCGAAATGGTTAGGAAATAAGCTTCGAGAGGTGAGTGAAGCCGAGCCGTTTTTGAGGTAGAACGAGAAAAAATTCGCGCAAATTGCAGGTCTCCAAAACTAGGCGATGCGCCCTTATAAGTATGTGGATTGAGACCTTAAGTCGCACTTGTGGTACTCGATCGGAAAGGGGGCTGAAGAAGGTCTCATAAGGGAAATTTTCAACACCTGCCTCATGCACGTTCGGAACATACACGAATGGCCTCCAGGTGTGATTCAACGCGTCTAGTCGATAATGCTCATGGCGTACACGGATGTTGTTTAGGAGGAACTTGACTGGACCGTTTGTGAGGTGTGGGCATGACCCCTCAGATGGACCGACCTCACACTATCTCACCCTCGAAAGCAGGGCTTACGAGAGGTTGAGGGAGGTGGCTTTAGCCCCGTCTTTCCAACGAGACTTAGCTAAAGCCAGTCCGTTCGGGGGTACTTCTATTTGCGAGTCCAAAAATTCTTTGGACAGAATATACTGCCGGAAGGAGAAGTACTTGTAGGTTTCAAAGAATGATTACTTCAAGTGGAGACATCTCTAGTTCGCGTTTTTTAGCCCCAAGCATACCTACACCCTCTACTGCATGATGTCCACCATGCACATGAATACGCTCAGATTGGCGGAGGACACAGGAGAGCGGGACGTGGTGAGGATATATCAAGTGCAGAGGAAGTTCCTCGCTAGGAAGTCGACACAAGTTTTGAAGACTCCCGCAGAGCATACATGGCGTAAGTACATCTTCCAAGATGTACTCAGACGGAGGCTCCTCAAATGGAATGGCGGACGTCATGACGGTGATGATGATGATGTTGAGAGAGAGTTGTATGTTTCTTAGTTCACTGTACAGAGAGACCTCACAGAAACACTCTTCATCTTACGCAAAAATGGCTGCAATAAACTACTTCAAGTCACATTAGAAGTTTCCTTCTCTCCATTCTTCATCATCACATTCCAGGCGAGCTTCCCGACCGCGCGATTGCTGAACATAGGGAATCACAGGACTTCCAAAATCTCAATAGCTCTTGTTACAACTAACCCTGAACCCCACATATTGGCCGTCACGTGAAGGATACGCCTCCATGATGGCAGCCCTCACACAAGAGGGCAATTCGTAGCGGTTGCCCAGGCCCAAGTGCCCGTACGCCCAAGTCACGAATGACCTGTACGCGTAGTAGCGGTATATCCTAAACTAATGTATCCTGCCTATTCTATGAAAATATGTTGACGAATGATTTGCCTGTTGACATCTTCGTTAATAGTTGCCAATTTCTCCTTGCTTCGCTCATACCGCCGCGCTTCTACCCATACAGACAGCACCTAAAGCAAACGGAATACGATAAAGTAGCGAACACACCTTACAATTAGGCCTCAGATGTTTACCTCCGAGTCCAGCACTACTTTATGAAATGAAGGGTGTTGAACGAAGACACTGCCCGGCAACATTGCTGAACCTCTCACTCAAACGTTGGGCTATCTCTCGCCGCTGGCGATTCCCCCCACTCCACATCCTTCCTCCACCAACTCCCGACAGCACACGTTGTCGTGCGTCGTTGTGAATACCACGCACGACCCACATAAGCACCACTTCGCATTCAAAATCCTTGTAGGTGAAAGGGCTCGTCCAAGAAGGTAGCATACACTGAACATAGCTTTTTATAAAGTGTAAAAGTTGTCCATTACACATCATCAAGAGCAAATAGTACTTTCTGTGGCGCTCTCTTTGGATCTTTTCTTCTTGAGCGCGATGCCTCTTCAAGACTTTCTCCACCAAAGCTGCTTTGGGTTTTCCGATGGCCACGGGACATGCTCGACCAGGTTGCTCGAAAGACATTCTGGGAAATGTAGTCAAACCATATAATTATGACCATTGCAATCAATACATTTTTATGTTTAAATTTTAAAAGTCCTAATAAATGATTGAACTCTTCTCCCTATTACAATTTCATGTTTTCGCTCTTGAGATGTGCTTTTGTTTAGGTGATGCGGTATCTGACGAGTAATAGCAACTTCACTATCGTGGCCTTTCGTCTTTTGTTTCTTTTCGTATCGTAGCACCACTACTTGTGATTGGTTCGATTATTATATTACCTATGCATGTAAGTGAGATCACTAGTAAGTTCCTCTTTCCGAGGGTTTTTTCCAACTTCCAAAATTGCAGCCATACATACTTGTTTTCAGGTGAGTTTGTCATTTTATGTTGAGAGTTGTGCTAACAGTTGTATTCGTTCCCCTATTCGATCCTTCTCCCCGGAATGTTCCAGCATTCTCATAGGTATGTTGTCATCTCCAGCCCATCATTTTTTAACGCTCTCTTATTTCCCGTTTTTTTATTTTCCGATGACATTTTTTCAGGGGTTTCTACACCTTTTCCTTCCTTTAATTTTTGATGTTATTTTCAGATGTATGCTCAATACTGATTCTCTTTGGCACTCAACAAGCTGGAGCCTTTTAAAGGATTCCTCGATCAAGCTGTTCACAAGGTATCACTCCCACCACTGTTACCTGTTCACTTGTCATTTTAAGCTAATCTGATCTTTATGTTACACGTATCCCTGTTATATTCGGTCTATTTAGGTTCCCGAGATTCCCGTAATGAGTACCCGTAATACTACAACAATGTATCGGCGCTTTCTCGCTTACGATTGTTCCAGGACGAACAACCACCACGTTGCCAGGAAGAACCCAGCCGCCTACGTTAGCAACCAGTACAGTCGGCATATGATTTGCTGTAGTGAATTAACACAAATAAACATATAGGTGCAATTATCAAACTGCTGAGCTTAAAGGCAAAAGTCGGGCTCAATAAGGGGGTATTATGGCGATTGAAACTGAGTATAGAGATGCGAAGTGGAACGACAGTGGAGAAAAAACTGAGAAAAACCGTCGACAAGGCCGTTAACAAAACCCTCTTTCCCACTAGCAGTGAAGGAGGCTGGCTTGGGAAAGAGGCACGTACAAACAAGTTTTCTGGAGATGTCAGTCGTTCTATCGGTTGATACGGCAATCAACCTAGCTGATTTCACACGTTATGCCAGCCACGCACCACTTCCGGAGGGTGGGCCGCCAGGCGGCGAAAGCGCTTAATACGTGCCCTGAGCCTTATTACGGCGCCGTTTGAGGATTCTGAGCATGGTAACGTCTCTGTGGGTGCGTAGCCATGCACAAAGACGACAAAAGGGATTGGTTTGGTCCACTGAGCCTGACTCGTGCCTTTAAGAAAAATCCATCAGTGCAAGTGCATTGTTGTTATACATCTAGTCTCAGAATCACAGGTTGACTATTTAGCGCGAAGCCCTTCACAGTGGCTCAGAATAATGAATGATTTCGTTCAAAGGCACTGTGACCGTCCTCAATATTGTACCTGTCTACTTGGCATCAGAATTTCGCGAATCAGAGCTGGTTTCTCAGCATAATTTGATGTGCTTTGCGATGGGTTTCGCAGAATTCTGCTAATGGATTTATTCTGAAGCAACGGAAAATCACTACTGCGAAGCCTCAGTAACACAGACGAACATTCTGGAATGAACTGGATCTGCGTTAATCTCAATACATTTTGGAGAAGTATTCCGCCACAGAAGGGCACTCAGCAGAAGTCAGATCGCGGTGCAGTTGGAACAGCTGGTATAAGCCGCTCGTGGACTCAATGGTAGTGATGTTCACAGTGTCCGATTCTTCATGTAGGGTACAGTCGATCTGAAACTGTGAGAAGTTAGAAACCGTAACTGTGATTGCTCAGATAAGTGACTTTGTATAGGAGTAATATGTGAGTGCCGAGTAAAATCCCACTTGGTAGATAATGAATGTGATGATGAAGTGGGAGGTCGAAAAAGGGGAAACTGTAATTGGTCGGCAGGGAAGCCCTCCCCCTTTCCTGAGGGTACAAGGCGAAGCGCATTTCGCAGTCGAAGAGTCGCTTCCGCACGGTAATAGGTAACTCTCTCCGTATGGCTTCAATCATTTTACCCTTTTGGTCATTTCACTAAGTGCTGCAGTGGCAGCTGGAGTGGCAAGGAGGGCAGGGAAAGGTGAGAAGGGGAACGCCATGCTTCACAGGGGGAGGGGGGAGGTTCCGACGGTTGCCGAGGACCAATCTGGTGCATCAGAAAATTCAACGGGACAACGAAAAGGTTTAATTTTTGTTTCTAGACCTTTTCCCATGGTTTTTCATCATCACTGCACTGCTGGCCTCCTTTTTTTGAGTGTTACGGTTAAAGCGAGAGATTACGATAAAGTGGCAGTGTGGCAGGGAAGCATATGCATTGCTGGAAGTAGTAGTGGACCCGCAAAGGAAGCGAGATGTTGCATTCGCACAGGCAAAGGTGCGCTAGTTGCGGCGCACTAGGGCCGCTACCGTAGTCTGAGCTCCGCCTCGGCCTGTGCCCCGCCTCTCGATTTCGACGATGAAATAGCACGGTGAATGTTCGTTGCAATCTCGGATGCGGCGCGGTCGAACTGCTCTGTCTTGCATATTTGCAATGTGGAGCGTCGTAGGGAGAAATAAGTCAGCTGTTCCATAACATTTATTTAATGGGATTGACGTTTTTTTATGTTTGGAAGGAAATTTGTGAAATTGTATTTACGCAATGCATTAAGTAAACTTGTGCTTACGCCTATCCCCTCATAACGAATTGATGCGTGCGTTGATTGTAAGAATGGTTTTGCAGGAAACTATGAGGGATTTTGATCGTTTTGAAAGATGCATATCTCAAATTGGCGCCAATGAGACCATTCGATGTCGATGCTTTAGATAGCCAAGACAACTTGCTACGAGTAGTTCTGTCCGCAGAAGCCAATTATAGCCGTATATTTTCAAAATGTTCTTGAATTGCAATTGAACAGAAACTCGGCGTCTCCTTAGATGTGCTGCAACTTCATCCCGAGGAGTTGAAATGAATTGGGGATGTCGTGAGGTGACCATTAGAGGTGAATAGGATTAAAACGAAGAACATTGCTTCGGAAAGAGGAGCTCGAATCCCTTCGTAGGCTAGATACCTTTGAGGTGCTTGTTGATCGAGCTAGCCATCACAGCGTTTACCCATAAGTGGCCGCTACCAGCGTATGTGGATCTAGAGGTGGTTCTACTTTGCGCCAATAGACGACAAATGCCAATTGCCACTGTAAGCGGCCGATAAAAGGCGAAAACCATGAGAAAAAAGACACTTTCATCATACCCCTCCTTACAACATGAACTCGCTTTGATCTAACTTCCATGAAGTTGAAAGTGTTGATAGATTGAATGTGTGGTAAAATTGCATAGTGTACCAAG